TGCTATAGGGCGCGTGCGCTCGCCAGACAGGCAGAGAGAGACATAGAGACAGAAAGCGAGAAATCACCCCCCAGGGGGGATGGTCACGCCACAATCCCTTCTCCTCCATTCTCCTCTCGGGATCTTGGGCATGCACGCACACGCGCCCGGCGTGAGTTCTAAGCCACCGGGTCCAGGACACGAACCGCGGTCAACTACGTGGGAGTCCAGCGACATAGCCATTACGCTAACTGCTGGTTCCCTCAAAATATATTTTTAAAGTGAATGGGTAATTCAAAATTTTTTTACACAAATGCACAGTTCAAATAGCGCCCTAATCTTTCTCTGTTTGGTGTCATTGTTCAGGTTTATAAGTTATAGTTCACAGGACTGTATAAAAACAGGCACTATACTCACAAGAGATGAGAATTCAGCTTGAGGCTGTTTCAGTTTCTGACAACACCCTAGGGTGTCACTATGTGTCTCTAACTTCTGTATTCCCTTATGGAATTGCTACATAGAATTTAATCCCCAAACTCTAAATTTCCTTAGAGTAGAAACAAGCTTATTTGAACCAGACTTTTCTAGTGCTTAATATTAAATAATTTGCTACAGTTGTAAGCAGAGTTCAATTTTTTTTTTTTTTTGGAGAGGTTTGTGCTATAGGGCGCGTGTGCTCACCAGAAAGACAGAGAAACAGATAGAAAGCAAGAAATCACCCCCCCCCCCGGGGGGATGGCCACGCCGCAATCCCTTCTCCTCCATTCTCCTCTTGGGATCCTGGGCACGCATGCACACGCGCCCGGCGTGAGTTTAAGCCACTGGGTCTGGGACACAAACCGCGGTCGACTACATGGGAGTCCAGTGACATAGCCATTACGCTAACTGCTGGTTCCAGCAGAGTTCAATTTCTAACAAGTTGAAGCAATCAGTTTCTAAACAGCTCTATTTCTAACCAATCCATCTATAATAACATAATCATTCTATTGAAGATTCTCAAAGTACATTTTCACTATTGAAAAATTTAAGTTCATATAGACAGAGCAGGAACTAGAAAAATAGTTTAAAATAAAAAGCTATTTGCTGCTGATGATGTGTATAGTAATGCCTTTGTCTTGACTGATATGCATGGTAATTGTGCTGGAAAAAGGAATGTTATATGCTTTAAAGATATATGTGATTAAATGTAATATAAAAAATTAAAAATAAATAAACTAATTTAAAGAAAAAGACAAGCCTTAACCATGTGTTCTATGAATTACCTATTCTCTCGACTTGCTCCCTTCTGCCCCAAGCTGCCTAAAAAGCTCTATTTAAGAAAGTCTGATAGACGGCCATCCCTGTCAGCTCAGTGGTTAAGTGATCTGTTATAGCTCTCACACAGTGAACTATGTATGATTCAAATCTCAGCCCTGGTGGCTTGTAAAACATGCTGGGCCTATATGTGTATATGTGTGCCCAAAAATCCTATTTAGAATGGAGGAAAGAGGAATGTGGCATGACCACACCACTTGGAGAGGGTGTGCTTTCTCTCTCTGTCCAGTGAGCGTGTATACATATGCCCTTTGGCAATAGCAAAAACAGGAAAACGTTTGATAGAAATGAGTTTGAATGGGGTTAATGAAATTTGAAGTTTATCAATGGATTTCAATAGCTGATTCAATTAGGTCATCAGGAAAGTCATGACATATTTTTCTGTTTTTCTAAGCAAAAAATGTGTCATGACTTTCCTTGTAACCCAATACTTTTAGCTCTGATAGTCTATAACGTAAGGTTCATTACAGATGGTTAGGGACATAATACCCATGGCTAGCTGTTACCACTCCTTCCCTGATGCCATTTTCTAAAGGCAAAATAACTTACTTCTATCAGTTTAAAATGATTAATACATAGGGGCAGATGGCATTATGGTTATGTTACTGGACACCCACAGTCTACTACAGTTCAAGTCCTGGACCCAGCAGCTTAAAATTTATAGCAGGTGTATGTGTGTTTGCCCAAAATCCCAAGAGGAGAATAGAGGAGAAGGGATTGCAGCATGGCCATCCCCTGAGGGGTGATTTTTCACTTTCTATCTCTCGGTCTCTCTGGCAAGTGCATGTGCCCAATAGCAAAAATCTCTGTTTAAAAAATAATAATAATAATAAATAATTTAAGAAGTTCCTCAACTGATCAAAAGAAATACCTAGGCTCTTCTAACTAATTTAATGCTAGGTGGTATGGATGTAGACAATAATAGGTATTATTACTATGACAATAACCCTAACAATCCTTTATATTCATGTAGTCCGTCATTATTTAAAAACTATTCCATGTAAATGTTAGCTTAGTTTCTCAATACTCATATGAGGAAGAATTCTAAGTGATACTGCTCTATTTTACAGATAGTTCAGAGCAAAAAAAAAAAAAAAAAGAAAGGGTTTAAGTGACTTGCTAGAAGTCACAGGCAGAAGAAATAATTATGTGTGAGACAGTCTTGGTCCTTCTTCAGAAACTATTCTAGTGGGACATCCAGATGAGTTGTGGCAGCTATAACATGGCAAAAACCAAGCTAGAGGGCAAAGGGTGACTGCACAGGGAACAGACTTCAGAGGGCTCAGGAAAGTCTCATTTCAGACAGACGTCACTGTGTTGGCTCTGAGGAGGAATATGAGTTTCTGCTACATTAACTTATTTTGTTCTCAGAATCTTCTGTTGATTTTGGACTTGATAGAGCAAAACTTAGAAACTCAATACCACATAATTAACTTTACCTCTAGGTTAGTTTTTCTCCCACTGTGATTCTCATACTAACTACATCAGCCACCTAGGGTCTTGTTAACAATACAGAAGGGAGCCAACCTGGATTTATTTTTTTCTAAATCTCTTGGGGGTGAGGTCCAGAAAAATGACTGCTTTACGCAAATTGCTGCTTCAAGCATGACTCCCTTGAGGATCTTTAAGTCAAATAGCAAAATAAAAAGGATATTTTTATTAGTGCCTTAAAATGCCTTTTTACTTCAATAGGGCCTCTATCTTTTTTGTTGTTGATGGAGGTGTGGAAAAGAGTGTGCATTTGGGGGGAATTGTAAATGATATAGTTGGGATAAGAGAACTGCATTGCATACTATCAGTCCTCACCCCAAGGGGGCACTGGATTAGGTAGAGCTTGATAAATGTTGATTTAGGGAACACAGGTTATTTATAACGTCTAAGAGTTTTGAAATTACCTTATTTTAGCTTTCTGCAAGGTTTCATCTTCCAGCATCTAGCCAGCAGCAGAAATAGTATAGTGGGGAGCTAGTGTGTATGGAGTTTGGAGAAAAACTGAGTTCAAACTTCCAGCCCATCAGTTAGCAGCTGAAAGGCCCAAAAGCCTTCATCTTCGTCCATCTTTGAGGAGAGAATATCAGTAGTCCTTAATCCAGTATTATTGGGAGCCATGAATGAGGTGTTTACTATAAACAGGTATCAATGAAATCCATTATAAATGAAATGCGTAGAACAGCGCCGTATATATAAGTTCCATAAATGGTTTATGCAAAATCGGGCAGGGCATACTCCCCCTAACATCTGTAACACGTCCCCTGAACAGGTCTACACTGCTGAGCAATCAGGAAAAAATAAAAATAATAAATGAACCAACGAGAAAACCAGGCGACCAGGAACTGGGTCCCTGGGTCCCGGAAGGCGCTCGAGTAGGGGCTCTCTCCGCCTGGCTCTCGGCACGTGGTGGGCTCGCGCGGGAGCTTCGCGACAGTGGGGGAGGGGATGGCGTGGGACGACGCGGAGGGGTCCAGACCGCGAAGGCTACGGTTGAGGAGGCGCCGACTGCGCAGGCTCCGGATGGACGCAACCACTGTGCGAAGACCCGAGGGGGAGCACGTCCACCCGGCTGCGCGCGGTCTTTATGTACTTCAGGAGCGAAAACCTGCCTTTTTATCTCATCCTAGGGATACCTACGGTGCCTCTGCGGGCAAATTGTTCACCATGAGAAAGACTCTTTTCCCAAGTCTAAAGGGGCCTCTTTCCC